CTGGCGGGGGCCCGCCGGGGGCTGTAGTTCTGGGCGGGAACCGAGCGGAAGCCATCGGGGCCCTTCCTCAGTCGCCGCTGTGTTGCATGCGGGGCTGCGGCGGGAAGGAGCGGTGCCGGAGGGAGCGCAGCGTGGGGCGGGTAAGCGAGAGCTCGGCGCCGGCCCGGCGCTGCTCTGCCGCCTCACGGGCGAGCGGCGCGCTCCGTGCCTCACACCCCTGCAGGGGTTAACCCTCCCTCTTCTCGCCACTGGGGCCGTTCCCCGCCGGGCCGCGGCACCACCCGGGCCGGAAGGTACGGCGGGCCGCGCCGGGCGTGCGGCGGCTTCCCTGCGGCTGCTTGGGGTCGGAGCTTGTGGCCCGAGCGTGAGTCGGTGTCCGGGGCTAGCCCCGCGGTTCCGAGCGGAGAAGGAATTCCGGCGCCTGTCCGGGTTGGCAGCTGACAGGACTCTTTCGGCGGTGGTGATGCTCTGATGTAACGTAGCGCTGCGTTGAGCTCCCTCTGTTCGGTGTAAGCGTGGGCTGCGGGGCGGCGGTGCCCGCAGGCGGTGGCCGGGGTGACCTTCAGCGGCCCGGGGTGCCCGTCTGCGAGCGGGGGCTCCCTGGAGGGTTCTGTCACCGCCAGCACGAGGCAGCCCTTGCTGGTGACATCTTAGTTGTTGTCCTGCTTGTGTAAGGAAGGCAAGGGAATTCTGGCTTTTAGCAACTTCGTAATCACGTTGTTACATTTTTATCAGCTGATTAAACTGGAGTACAAATATCTGTCAGTAAATGTCATTTACTCTGTCGACCGTGCTAGTGGAGAAATGTAAGTGGAGTGGCATGCTCGTATTTTATTTTTAATGCAGTCTTCAGCTGTTGCATAGGTACCTATTTCTTGGTTATGTTTCACAGTTATTCTCGACTGATTATGACAGTCTGATGCAGATATCTGATATACTAATAAAGCAACATTAGAAAGTGACAGTCGATGGTAGGTTTGTTTTCAGATACTTGTTTTCGTTCAAAAGATGTAGTTCTTAGTAAAAATAGGCAGAACTTCTTTTTAATTACACTTCTGACACTGAAGCTAAATTGAAAAAAAAATATTTTCCAATACCTGCAATTTTTCCACTCTGTAATGGCAGTGTGATTATTAGAGCTGTATATGTTTATCGAATTTCTGTTAGGAGTATCTGAAGATGTAGTTTGAAGAGCATTGGGAAACCACAGACTTTCCTGATGGTGGTTTGCCTCTATTAGCGGGCTTGTGGAATTAATATTGTGCAGTTGAAGTGCTGTCTTTCAGGAATAACAATTGTGATTTGTTGATTAGTCTTCCAAGAAAACACAAACAGAGCATTTTCACAGAGATGGCTACAAAAAAGAAGACATCTTTTTTGCTGGTTTGATTGCTAGTGATATTCTGGTGACTGAGCTGTATAGATCAGTTTGATTATTTCTAATACTGAATTATAGCTTAAAATGCTGAGCATTGGCTGGGGTCTGTGTCAAGGAATTGAAACTACTTTTTTGGGGTGATCAGCCATGCATCCATTGAAAGTGTTAGTGATTTCAGTTACATGTTATTCATGTTCCCTTCAAGTATACTTTATAGAAAACAAGCTTGAGTTTTAAAAGGAGCTGATTACAAACTTTATAATGAAATATTAGCAGAGAACATAGCAGAATGAGGCATTAGCAGAATGCCGCAAGAGCCTTTATTGTATTTTATACCCTAACTAATATATAGGCAATCCATGATAATTCTTGATTCCTTTGAGATCATAACATTACTACATATATACATAATTTATTCTGAAAAGAGAAAATTTGATAGAAAATATGCATAGACAGTAATGTTTTGCTTGTACATTTACAGAAAAGGAATTAATAAAACATAGTGTGTGTCTTTTATGTAGCTAACACTTATAGTTTCAGACAAAGGGAGGCTTCAATTAGGCATTTGCTGTTTTTACATTGTACTAAGGATGATAGAGACAACCTCCAAATGTGTAGGACTTTAATGTTAACTTTCAAGCTGTGGTATTCAACAGAATGCATGTATACATGTACATAAAGCATATATAGATGTACTTAACAGGTAGTGTTGCCACTTCGGAGAATATGAGCTAATACAAATGACAGACAAGGAGAATAAGTGAACCTGGTTAGGCAGAACTGCAGATGAAATAGGATGAGGGAATGTTGTGGCCAGCTTCATGATCCCCATGTGATTCATCATTCTCCAGGAGGTGTTCTCCAGCTTCCCCACTGAAGCCTTACCCCCATTCCAAAAGCAAAACAATCCAGAAGATGGGGGGGAGGGGTATTTTGTTTGTTTTCTTACAGTTTCTTATACCATTTTTATATGATTGAAAGTCTGTTGCAGGGTTGTTTATGATTATTATGGTTGTTTTTAGGATTGTGTTGGCATACTGTTTTAATTTTTTTTTCCCTTACATGAGAAGAACACAAGCACTAAATAGATTTCTTAGGGGATAGTATTGGCTGAAAATAACAAGGTGTTAGGCATGCAACAAATGTTAATTATGATAGGCAAAGTTTGTGTTCACATAGATTTGTTTTTCAGTTGACAATCCTTTGTCCTTCATCTTCTACTGGATGGTGTTGAATTTGGCCTCTGCTTTTGAGCACTAGTCCTAGGAATGTTTTGGCACCAATTCAGTGTGGTCATGTTTGCTATAAGAATAGAACTGTTTCATTAACCTTGAAATGCAGAATATGTTGATTGCTATTAGCTGGCTTGACAGCATTCCAGTTTTAGCAGTGGAAAAAGTACTGTGTTAATGACTTGATACAATTTTTTTAATTGCATACTTACATGGCAGTAAAACTTGGCATCTGAGTATAATGATTTACTTGGCTTGCTTTTGGAAAATGGGTGTTGTCTTCTCTCTTAATCAAGTTAGAATCTTCTTTGTTGTCAAAATTTTGTTTGTGTTACTTGTGGCCTAATGTCTTGCATCCTGGAACTGTACAGAGGAGCAGACCTAGTTTAGTCTTTCCAAGTACATTTGCTCTCAATAAATGCAAAATAGCAGGAATAACAGTTTATTTTTGTTGAAGTTTGATATTGTCAATATAGATGCCAATATTTTGCATGCATTTTTAACTTTTTGTGCCCAGAGAAATCACATGTACAGTTGTCTGTAGTTTCCAGTTGCAAAGCAACTCCCTCATCTTTCTCATAATTCAGATTTGGAGTTCTCTAGTGGTAGAATGTCTTCAGAATTATATCCTATCTTGAGGTGCCCCAACTCTTTCTTCATCCATCTGAAATTGCTTAAAGTGTTACTTAGAAAGGCAAGAACAATTTTTAATGCTTCATAACTATTATATCTTTCTCTAAGGCTTTAGTCAGTATTTCTTTTTCAAGTTAATCTTCACTAGGGTGTTCTGACTCACTGAAGGAAAAATTTATAAAGTCTCTTTAGAGCAATTTGGATTCCCTAGGGCAGATACAGAAGGTGTAGGAATAGTTCCCACTTCTACAAGAAGTGTATATGTACCCCCTGTGTATATATGTGTATATGTACCCCAGGTTTTGGCTCACTGTTTGGAGCCAAATGATAGCTGAAATGTGAGACACACATTTGGGAGTAAAATTTAATCTAGAGAGTACAGAAATACTGAGATTGAGATAGGTATATATGTATTATGTATATAAAATGTTGTCTGATATTTCCATCTCTCATGACCCTTCCTTGAAGGATTGAAGGAAGCCTTCTGAGAAGCACCACCCCTGCATATGGGTTGTTCCCCAATATTTGAATTTCCCTTGTTTTTTTCATTTTCAGTTAACCTATTAGTAAAAGACATGAACACCAATGGGAAATTGGCCTATGAGGGAGTAGGGGGACAAAACTAATAAGATGTAGATTGGTGTAGAATGAATATAGTAAATTGACAGTGGAAATAATCTTTATAAATAAAGATTAAAACCAGTACCTGAGAAAGTTTTCTGGCTTCCCTTTTGGACATGTCTTTCTGCATGATTTTTATTTCTAGTCCATCTTTTTATAGCATGGTCATATATTTTAAAGCCACATTGTAAATTTTATGGGTTTTATTTAAATGCATTTAATTATAGTTGTGGCTTGCAGGAGGAATCTACAGTTAGGAAATAGGTTTATAGCTGCAGTGTAGAAGTCTCATGGAGTCACTTTCAGGGTGGAACTGCCCAGTGCTTGAATTTCTACAGAAGTTGCCCCATAGTAGAGGAAACTAAAGATAAAAGAGGCACTGGAAATGCAAGCATTAACTTTTATGGTGTTTGCTTATCTAGTAAACTTCTCAAAGATTTTACAAATGAGTTTGTCCTTTCAATTCAATAGCTTGGTGTTGGCCTGGTGCTCTAGAAAACATTTAGCCAAATCACCTTTTTTTTTTTCTCTTCTCTTTGGCTGAACTGAGATTGACCTGCAACAAATAGTGCTTCTGCTTTGTGCTTAGAGGAGAGATTAAAACCAATCTTGAGAAGTAGCAGCATTTATTTTTACATTTTTAAAACTCAGAGGTAAAAGACTGAGTTAGAGTTGTGAAGAAACTGTCCTATGCTGTTGAACTTCGTCTAGCTATATAGTGACTGTTCTTATTACAAAATAGTCATTCGCATATGTGGATCTACAGCAGTCTTCTTAAATGTCTTTTATTTTGCTGTATTAAGTTGTTTTAGAGACAGAAGTATGTATAGTTCATGCTTTTCAGCAATCCATTTATAAAATAGCCTCTAGGAAAAAAAAAACCCCAAACTTCTAAAAAGTGCTAGAATAATCTATACATTCATATAGAAAATGTTTCTGAAATCTCAAGTTTTTCTTTTTTATTAGGTGTTTAAATGCATAAGAATTAAAACTGATAAGCAGAGTACATACATAAAGAAATCAATGACAAAACAAGAAGATACTGCTCACAAGTATGAGCTGACTGTAATGGAAGAAAGTTCTTTTTTGATCTCATGCCAAAGTCTACAAGCAGATGAACTGGCAGGCTCCAGGCTTGCTTTAAAAAGCTCCTGCACTGTCCATTTTAATCTTGTCAAATGAGAGGTTGCTACAGACAGCAAAACAAACCTCTGATTGTTGTGCTTGATGATTTGAGATCTTGGGGAAACTGTTGAGTTAATGTTAGATTTTAAGAGAATTTTATGTTAACTGAATGCCAGAGGAGGGAAAATGACACTTGCTTTCACTTTTATATCTTTCTAGAACTACTGTTTTATATGAAAGGTGATTAATCAGTCTTGACGAAGGAAAAGCATATTTTTACTTTATTAAACTCTTCTGATAGCTTATCTGAATTAGTCACAGTAGTTTCATTCTCTGGTTTACATGAGTCCCTGCTGAAGAGAAAACACAAATTTTATCATGATCCACAAAGCAAATTTCTGATAGGTGCAATTTTTAGTTAACAGACTCCTAAAGGAAAAGTGACTCAAGCAAACAGTTGTATAAAAACTAAATTGTTTAACAATAGAAATGTTAAGGGTGATGTTTTTTTAAAATCTTGCCTTTAGAACCCATCACTTTAAATAAATGTAGTGGCCTGAAGAAGATCTCTGTTTAGTTGGAGCTGCTGTCTGTTAGCATAAAAAGGAAATGCCTTCATTTCAGTGAATGACCTGAATACACTAAATATTGTATGAAAGAAGATGAATAGTACAGACAAAGAGATATTTGACTAAGTGAGTCCATGTTTAAGGTGAGATGTCTGCAGGGAGAAAACATATTTTAATGTTACCTTTTACATGTACTGTGTAGACTGCAAATAAAATGCTTGTTTGCCTTTTTTTTTTTTTTTTAATAATAATTAATTATAGTACAGAGGGGAAATTCAGACTAAAAGAGACAAAGTCACACCAATTTACCTGTCTCCCTTGAAAGAGTGAAATCTGTTAAATTTTAGTGTTCTCTTTGTTTTATTTTTAGGTGATGGGTGAGCTGAGAAGCTGTTGAAGCTTATATGGAATACTTCTACTGATCAGTAGTAGCCCAGATGAAATAAGCATGTCCTAAGATGGCAGTAGATCTGGAATATGAACCAGCCTACAGAAGTGAGTTGATGCCAGATTTGTGAGTCTTGATGGCTCTCACTTACTCTGTCTCTAAAACCAAAGCCCTCTTTTTACCAAAGCAATACAGGAATGGTGCACAGTTTGATTACAGAATGCTCTTTCCAAGGAAGTGAACTGTGAAGGAAGGACTCATGAGTTTTGATCCCAGGGGCTTGGAGAGCGTCCCTGGTAAGTTGAAGAATTACTATTACAAATCTTGAATGTGTCTAACATGTCATAAAGCACCAAACTGAAGACAACCTTATGTTTCACAATCTTTGTACTTTGCTTATGTGATATTGCAGAGGAACGACAACAGTGGGTCCATTTGACTCACTGGTAAAGTCAGTGTGCGCTGTAAAGTACTGTTTGTAAAATTCTCACTGTTAATAGTCAATATCAGTGGTTTTTCCATTGAAAGATACTGCAGACAGTGTTCATCTTGAGTGGAAATCTTGCAAAGATAATCATTGCATACCATTGATATTTTATGAATTTCATCTTAATGGGGTTTTTTTTGCAATAATTGTGAAGATATTAAGGGACACACATAACACCCTGCAACACAGAAAGACCTAAACTTTGATTGCAGGGGTTACAGTATCTTATTTCTCAGAGTGTGATTCCATAAGGATGATAATGTAATTTTATACTTGTTCCCTGATTTCAAAGCAGTATTCAGTTGATTTTACTTACTTTTAGATTGTTTACATCTATGTTCCTTATCAAACCAATGCATAAAACAGAAGAACAAGAAAAATGCGAATTTCCTTCAGAAAAGGGAAGCGTAACAACTGTGAAAAGTCAATGACACTTTAGGAAATCAATAGCTGGTAAAATGTAGGTTTGTGTTTTATCTCAATGAAGAGGAAAAGCTAGAAATTTAAACTCATTACATACATTATATTCAGGAAGTTGGAGGGACACAGTATACCATCTTTTCAGTAAGTTCTGAGGTCAGCTGGGAGTGAGGAACTTAAAAGTACTGCAGTATAAATCAAGTATTGATTCAGTAAGTATTCTGGTATTTTGCCTGGTACAGAAAAATTATTTCTAAATCCACCAAAGATTTATGAAGTATTTTTTAGTACAAAAAATGTATAGTAATGTAGCAACACTATTAAATTTTACATATATTTAACAATACACTGTTACTGGCATTTACTCTTTCAGATGGCTGCTCCAATGAGGACCTTCCTGAGGTGGAGCTGGTGAGCATGCTGGAGGAACAGTTGCCAGATTACAAGTTACGAGTGGACTCTCTGTACCTGTATGAAAATCCAGACTGGATTCAGCCCACAACTTGCCATGGCCGGCTGCCAGAGATCGCTTCTCCAGCTCATGAGGAGGACTCCTTCCATTACATGAGTGAGTCGGTACTTATTTCCCCAAATATTGAAGGTACAATTATCTAGAAACAAAGCATTGTGCTAGAAGAGATGTAATACAAGAAATATCAGTGTACAGCAGCTCTGTTTTTCAGGAATATTAATGGTGCTGTGGTTGATTTGGTGATATTCCCCTGATGTTTGATGTCAGCAATGCTTGTGAAATGCTGTCAGTGGTTTCTTCTGGAGATAGAAAAGGGATGAATGGCAGATAGGTGGGTACTAGATCAATGTTGATCACTGCCTTCCAGTTCTAAAAATACTAAGTAACTTATTCCTAAACTTATCAAATGGTAAAGAAGAAAATGGACAGCTTCAATCACATGAAGAAACCTTTAATTTGTTGAAAAGAAAATGTATAGAAAGTTGCTGAATGAACTGTACACTTACTTGCTGGTAGTTTCTGAGTGTTTTCATGTGAGGAGAATGCATTGTAATCTCTTCAAAGAAGTGGGGAGGTCCTGTTTCCTCCGTGAATTGGAACAAACCACACAGAAGAGTGAACTTGTTATTTATATACAATCTGTAATGATTACCTCTTCCTTGTACATGCCACCTCTGAAGGGTTTTTTTTTTTTTTGTCATTTTTCTTTGTAGTTTAAACTTCCCAAGGGCATAGCAAAGGAGTAAGGAAGACTAAAACATTATCTCCCAAGAATGCAGTACTCAACAATTTAGAGTGATCTTGTTATGAGTTGACCTTGCAGGCTTTGAACTCTTTTAACTGTGGAAAGTAATTGGAAAGCTGCTTAATGTTTGTTGCTCAGTCTGTTTCTGATAATAATATTGCAAGCATAAATGATTTTATAGTCAAGTGAATGTTTTTGTAGTTCACTGGAAGCAGTTGTGCAGTTGGTGGGGTGTGTACTTGCCTCCAAGTGTTAATCATAGAGAGGTGGGATCAGAGTCTATCCGTGCTGGATGGAGCTTGGCATGAAACACAGCTCTGCTGAAGCTTTCTGCTCAGCACCTCACCCGTGTGACAAAGCACAGGGCTACAAAGGAACTTTGGTCAGTGTGAACTTGCATTTTCAGCCTGCAGGGAGAGGGAGGGGTTTTATCAACAAAGTTTTCATGAAGCCTGTTGTGTATTATTTGGCTGTCAATGTATTGCAGAAAGGGCTGTCTTCCTATTTCTCCCAGAGGGAAGTTCTTTTCAAATAGAGAAAGTGTCCTGTGAAAACAGTAAACTGCTTGTAGGAGTTTTTTAAACTATAAATGTTTTCTTGGAACAGTGACTGAAATTGAATTAAAATGTAGCTGTTAAGCATAACATACAAAACTAATTCTTGTATCAATTAAGGACACTTTCGTAACTGCTGATAAAAGATAAATATGGTTTATGTTTCTTCTAGAAATTGCCCAGACATTGGTTACACTTGAAATCATAGTAGCTTTTTTGAGACTAGTAACCTACAGGGGCATACCAGGAAGGTCCCAGACAAATACAGATATAAATCAAATTTTAGTTATAATTATCGTTGAATAGCTTGTTAGGTAAAATTTTAATCTTTCTTTGTTGCCTGCAATTGGGAATAAATGTGACATGAAGCATGACATGTAGTTTTAACTGTGTGTCTTCCTCCCTCTGTATATGTATGGAAATATTTTTGTAATTTTTTTCAAGAGAGAATGCTAAATAGATGGTTTGAGTGAATTTTTAGTTGAGAAAAAAGCCCCAGAACAACACAGCAGTTATTGCACTTCAGCTCCTCCTCTTTTTATGGCTGCTGCTGCCTATAAGAAGGTCTCTCCCATAACCAGTTGGGTTCACACTTGGCAGTGTTTTCAGTGAGGTGGAAGAATGTTTTTGGCTTTGACTGTGCTAGCATAAGAAGTCCTGAATTATTTGGAACCACTTGGTATGTGTGAATAAAGGGTCATGGCACAACATAACAAGAATTTTAACCAAAATGAAGAGTTGCTTGCAACTTTCACTTGGCAAGGTGAGTATTGCACATGCATGTGTTCTCAAGACAGAATTCTAATAAATTGTGTATAGTTTTGATCCTGAACTGAGAGAAAACACCAAAATTTACTTAGAGCTAAGTTTCAAAGCTGTCGGTTCTGTGATTTTAGTTATCAGAGTAAAGATATTTGCTCTTGATTTTAGGAACTTACCTACCTGAGTAACTTCTTATGGAATTAGTGTAAATTTTTATTAAAGGGACTGGATAGAAACTTGTAACTTGAAATCACCTGCTAAGAATAGTTAGCACAGGAGAACTGGCTATAATATTCTGCCTGTAATGGCTGTAACTTAGTTATGTAAGTGCAGTGAATTTTCCAAACACTAATAAGCTGGATGAGTTTGGAGTCCCCTTTCAGCAGCCAGTATCAGCAACCAAATAATACAGTAAAATTGTCCTCCAAGTGCACTTTGTGCTACTGATAGATAGGTACTTTGAATTTAGCGGAGAGTTTTTATTTTTTCCATGCTTAGAAGTACAATTAGTAAGTGACAGTGCTATAAGTTCAAAGTTCCTGCATACTTAAACAGCATGTGCTGGGTTTTTGTGCCTACTGATCTACTTGATGATGAAAAGCATTTGGTTTGTTACTTTGATATATTTTTCTTTTAAGCTTTTAGACAAACAGTAAAACTTTTCCATCTGTGTTGTTCTTCCTGTTCTTCTATCTTTCAAGATTACAAAAATGCTTCTTTTGTTACTAAACTGCAACTTGGTTTTGATCTTAGCATAGCTGTAGTGTAATGCTTTAAAAGGTTAATTGTGGGCATAATGTGTGTAAAGGGTATAGACAGCTTATGTAACATATGTAAATGAAGTTAGTGTGCACTTTAGTATCTCATAACTAAGTCTGTAGTTCTCAACAAAACAAACAAAGAAAAGAACTGATGTTGGAGTCAGCGGCACAGGTATCTCTGATACCTGGTTCTGACATGCAAGAAAGCACTGAATTTCATATAACACCCTGGAAACAACTGTTAAAGTTAAATAGAAAAACTTAGAGTGTGTGTAAATTAGAGAGTTTTCTTAAGTCACTGGGTGAAAAAGTTAAAGTTTAAGCTAGTTTAGAAAATAAGAGGCAAGATGGAGGAATTAGGGCGTTGTCTCATTTCCTTCTTCTTCCTTCTTCATCTTCTTCTTCTAAAAGTTTTTGGGTAGTATTAAGTGATTGGATAAAAAGTGCTGCAGTGCAGCACACAGGTGTTGGGTCATTGGGTCACTAAGAAAAATAATTTACTTGGCATTTGTTAGTTGGATAAATAGACATATAAAAGACGTTGAAGAAGTTCTTTGTTAGCCATTTTGCACCTCTCTATCTTAGTGCATGTAGCTCCTTGTGCCTTGTATACGTGTAATATAGATAAGAGAAGAATAAACAACCAAGTCTGAACACAAGAAAACTGCCTCTTTCTCATCAATCTCAGTCCAAGGGGAAAAAAGAACCCAGCCACAAGTGTCCCATCAGGACAAACTGGTAATCTATACCATTGTGTATGCAGAGTAAGAATGAGATTTAAACAAGGTAAAAGAGTGAAGGAAATCTTGAGATCAAACCCACAATAATCCCATTTTGCAGTTTAGTGGTGATGGAATTAGTTTCAAAACAGGTTAACTTAAACCTTCAGCTGAAGCAGATGGTTCTGTAATTTTTAAATTTGTATTGCTGCTTCTTCACTTTAGTGATTCTGACATCATAAAGCAAAAATAGCAAATTGCTGTTGAGCTTAGCACAAACATTTATCACCTGATAGAGAGATGTATAATTCTGCTTCTGAAGGAAATTATGATTAAATGGTTTCCTAAAAGGTCTAAGAAGGTGTTAATAGTGCAAAACCTATGTTTGCACATGCATTTATTTTTTGATTGTGGTAGATGCATGTCAGAAAACCACCTGTTTCCTTACATTTTAATTCTTTCTCCTCTTTGTCCTCTTTTTCCCCTCTGTATCTTTCATTATCTGTCACTCTAGCTCTTATTGAACTTCCTTCCTCCTCCTTGGACGGATCTCACAAATTTGCACAAGGTAATTAAGAAGCCTTTGTTACTGCCATCTTCTTTTGATCGGGACATGAACTAGAGCAAACCAATGCTTTGCAGTTTTAGCACTGTGTTTTGTTCAGAGGCATCACAAATTCTTCATGCATTCCTCACTTAGTCCTGTTTGTCCAATCCTATTCTTTCTCAGTTTTTTAATAGTTTTGCAAACTCTTCAAACGTTGGAGTAATTTGATTACTAAGATAGCATTTACTGCTACATCTAAAATGCAGAAATACATTATTTTATTTCTTAGTTGTTTCCAAGATGGCCAAGCCCTTAATAAATGTATTTCCATGACTAGTCTCAGGAGTCTCCATACTTCCTGCATATAGCTGTCACACAGCCTAGTGGGAATTTTGCTTCAGGGTTAAAGTATGTGTTCAACTATATTTGGATATGCTCCAATATACTCTTCCTCCTCTCCCCAGCAGGCTGGAGGATTCAATTGCTAATTGCTCTTAGGAGTTTTTTTTTCATTTTGTAAATGTAATACCTCATTTATCAGTCTCCCAAATAAGTATTGTTTGACATTTCTGAAGCTGAAGATGCATTTTCATAGCCTCTGCTAGCTACATCAACCAAGTACTGTATTTGTATATAAACAACATCCCCTGAGTTCAGTTCTCCCACTTCTCACAATCTTCTTGTCTTTCTGTCAATGAAATAAGCATGTTTGTCTCTCTTCAGTTCTTGGCACAGATAATGTGGAGCAGAAAGACTACAGTCAAGCTGACATGGTCAAACGTCTGTTAGCTGAGGTATGCTTGTCTCTGTGTAAATACAATTGAGGGAATGTGTTTGAGGGAGAGCTTTATTCAGCTGCTGACCATGAAGTTATCTTCAAGAGCTGCTTATCAAACACATGGGTAATGAGAAGCTGCCCATTTGCTTGCACCATCTCAGAAACAAAATGTAATGAAATTATGGGCACCCATGAAGCCAGTGAGTGTAAGAAAGAAACAGCTTTCTTCTGATTTCCTGTTGCTCTTCTGCTTCTACCCTTTCACCAGTGTTTAAGCTGAGTAGTCCGTTCTGGAGAAAGTGTCACTGGGAAGGCCACAGGCCTAAGTAAATGTGATTTTTGTGTGTGTGTGATTCAACAGGGCCCACATAGTCTTTGTACTCAGCACAAAACCCAGAAATATCCCCAGGTTTGGTGCTTTCCCCTCCTACTGCAAATGGCTATGGAAGAGAATATGCTGTATCAAAAACCACAGTTGTGGATGTGTTCTGGATCCAAGTGATGAAGCATTAATAATTTTCTATTATTCTATATTCAAACACTATTTTTCTAGTGTTGATCCATTTGAGCGTGAATGGGGATCTCAGAGTGGTGATGCATTGAGCAATATCTAGGAGAATGTAAAACTACTCTGAATTTAAACCTTACATGACCAAAAGGAAACATTTTTTCTCATTTTGTGAGCAGAAAGATCGGGACCTGGAACTGGCAGCGCGAATTGGTCAAGCCCTCCTTAAGCGAAACCATCTGTTGATGGAACAGAATGAAGCACTGGAAGAGCAGTTAGGACAGACTCTAGACAGAGTAAGTGGTCACTTTTCTTTCTTTTTTTCCTTGATTTAGGTCTTTTTTGCATTTTTTTCTTTTTTTTCCATTTATGATGGTGGTAACAGGATTAATAGAAATATATCATTTTGTAGTGAAAGGGGTATTGGTGCTCTCTGACTACAGAAGTGTGCTTAGATGTCATTCTCCTAATCATTGTTCGATCACTTTTTGCAGTCCAGGAATTAAATAAGAAGACAACATATTGTAATTACTGAGAAATTATGAAAATGTTAGATATCATTAGGGTACATCAGATCATCAGTCTCATTTCCCACCGTTAAACTAAAAATGGACTAGTATAAGTCAAAATAAGAGATTGGTCAAAATAAGAGATTGGTATCTAATATAAGTGCTACTATATAACAACTTCATAAGTGAGGAAAGAGAAAATGAGCTGGTTAATGGGGTGCTTACACTAAGAGTAAACAAATGAATAAATAAAATGTAATGAAAAGTGAATTCCAATCTTCATTCCATCTCTTCCTTTAAGCACAGATTCTTAATCTAACCTTTTCTTTGTTTTTCTTTCTTATAAGAAGAATTAAATAGTTGACAAATAACCCTGTGGTCAACAGATGTAGTAAGCTACAGTGAAATGGCTTCAGCTGCTTGTATAAAACAGTATGCTGGTAACAAGGATGTACTCATAATCAGCTGCAGGACAGCATAAACTTAGGTACTCATCTAAAAATGTAGATAGGCAAAATAGATTTTATCTAAATGAGATCTGTCTCTTTTTTTTTTTTTTTTTAATTGTCCTACAGATCATTTAATGTGCAGCCTGGAGGGTCCCACTCTGTACATGTAAATAGTTGTCTCTCAATCCTTCGCTCCAGAAACAGCAATTCAGGGTAATGGTCATAATCAAAACGATAGCTAGCATGTTATAATGAAATAATGCATCAAGGCAGCTGGAAAATGATTTTGCAGTAAACTATTTTAAAAGTAGGTTCTGGTGTTCATTTTTGTGGTGTCTTGAATTTTCACTCTCCCTTGCAGTGGTAAAATTAGGATTTTGCAAACTTCCTGTGAAAAAAACAGAGCTATTCAGGAGCAGTGGTGTTCAAGAGGCTGCATAAATAATACAGTATGATATTGTATATGTAAAGTGTATTTCACGTGGTGGTGATCTTCACTTGCTCTAGGTTAACCAGCTGCAGCATGAGCTGTCAAAGAAGGATGACCTGCTGCGTATCGTTTCCATCGCTTCTGAGGAGAGCGAGACAGATTCCAGCTGTTCCACACCACTGCGTTTCAACGAGTCTTTCACTGTCTCCCACGATCCATTGCAGCTGGATGTCCTGCAGGACAAACTCCGAGAGCTGGAGGAGGAGAACCTGGCTCTGCGATCCAAGGTACATCCGGCTGGCGGCGTGTGCTGTATGTGCTGGGTGTGAAATGAGTCAGGGTCTTAACAATCCAGTGCCAGGGTTTCTCTTGAAGCACATGGCTATTTTGTGCACGTTCCCTCCATGCTCACATCCTTCTGTTTCCCTCATTCCTTATTGTCCCCAGAGTTCTCTAGCAGTCTGTTCTCAGTGCAGTTGTGATACATGAAAATGTATGGGAACATATGTAAGCACCCAGCAAAAGTACTTGGACACATCAGGCCTTCAAGCTAATGGAGTTTGTTTTGATATAAATCTGACTGCAATGAGCAGGAGTATTTGGGGAATTCCATTCTGTTGCCATTGTTTTGGTCAGAAGATATTTAAGGGTTAATAAGCTTTCACTTAAATTATTTTAAAGAGACACTTAGTTGTGACTATGTGATGAGTTTCTCTATTTTAACTGGTCTCTCATGTGTATAAAACTTGAATACAGGCACTAGATGTGCCATTAGAAGGACAGAGATTAAATGGCCAGACAAAAAATGGCTATAAAATGGAACCAACAGTAAAGGTTCCAAGAACTGGAATCTACAGATGTAATGGGTTTTTTTGGTAGTGAAGAGTGGAACTTGTAAAATAGGACATTGTTTAAAACTGGGTACTTTTTGTTGCCTCTAAGGAAAAAGCTTGTTATACCAGTACCAGACTAGATTCTTTTAATGTCAACAAAATACACTTCTGCCCTTGTTTTGTGTCCAAAATACTCGGCCTGAGATGCACATTCTTCCTAAAACTCCCTAAGACCAACTGGATACATTAGTAGTGCTGTAGGATAAGAAAGAGAAGATCAGGTTGCCTTTACTTTGCTTGTAAGCCTGTATATGATTGCACAAGTTTACAGACCAACCAGGGCTTAATCATTCTGTGATACAACATAACCTTCAGTGACTTGAAATAGCCTCAATTACAATGAGCCTTTATTTGCTTTTTTTATTTCCTTCCATGTGACAGCACTATGTAAAGAAGTGTATTTGCCTGCACTTGTGTAAATGTACTGTTTGCTGGGATAATCTTTAAAACCATTTGCTGAGTTTTACAGTGCGAGTCCCTTACTGGCAAACAGTCCTGAGTGTAGAAGGCTGTCTGTGCTAAATGTAACATTACCATCCTCACAATCAAAAGGGAAGTAGGAATCTAGAGTGCTTCATGTTGTTTACATATGATGTGATACTCAGTCTCTGGCCCAGAAAATTTAGACTAAATAGACAACTTGGGAATATGGAGGAAAGCTGTTCTACCAAGAGCTTTTCAGTGCCGTAAGAGAGTTGGCTAACATCAGTCAGTTTTCAAGATTTTTAACTTAAGTTTTTTGAAGCAAATTAAATTGCTTATTTCTGATTTCTATCTTAGTTCACTTTCCCTACCAAATTAAATCTTTTTGCCTTTTTATTAGAGCCAAGAGATCAGGCTTTGTTCTGCAGTCTGTCTTTTACTCAAAACACCTGTAAAATTTTGGCAAGCAAGTTATGGTGGAAAACACAGTTGCATAGAATTTTTGAAGAGAGTGGGGAGACTCTTCAGTTGCAAGAATTTTAGAAGTAAAAATTTATAACTTTATAGATAAACTGAAATTGTTATTGATAAACGAATCATTTTCTCTAAGGCTTGCCATCTGAAGTCAGAAACCATTACATACGAAGAGAAGGAACAGCAGCTGGTCAATGACTGTGTCAAAGAACTCAGTGAGTATCCAGGCTGTATTTTGCAATGACAGGATGGTAGGTGAAATACCTAGTGCCTAAACTTTCTTAGCTAACCCTGAATCCAAAAATGAGCTTCAGTAATTTATGCCAGTCATTGAAGTCTTGCCCTTTGCCCAAGAGCAAGGTTGTTTCTGTATTTCACCAAGTCTCACTCTGGTATTAAAATTCAGCTGTGTGTGTCATGTTTAGAAGGGGGAAATGAACACAAAAGGTAATGTTCTTAAACTTCCTATACTGAAGCCTACAGACACTAGAAAATCAACAAAATACTCTTCTTGTATAATGGGTCGGTGTATAGACTCTTAAAACTATGAACACATTAGTTTTAAAATATATGTTATGAACCAAAGCATTTAAATCAGCAAGTGGCTTAATTTGTTTAGAGCGGTTGTTTGTATTTGTTTTGGGGAATGCTTATTTGCAAGAATTGCAGCTACTCTTATATAAATGCATGCTAAGTATTCTGAAAAAATAAAGAGCAGTACCTTTTTTTATCTGTAGTCATTTGATGTGTATTACTTCCTTTGTGCATAATAACCTTAAATTATATTTAAGATTATTTTTTTCTATACAATCACCATAAAGACTGGGTTGCTGCTTAATTTTTCTTGTTACAGATGGTCATAAAATACTATTAATTTATACTTAGTTGGTTAATTTACACTGATCCACCGAGAAAATATGCATCTTTTGCAAATAGGAGTTAGTTCAAATATGCTCTCCTATTTTCCTTCAGTGAGAATGTCTGTGAGTTCACTTTTTTATGGAATTGTATAGCATGAGTAGGCATGCTAGGTAATTTAGACTCACAGAAGTAATATTCTTCTAAAGCTGTGTTGCCTACAGCTTTAAAATTTGCATTTTCAGGAAAAAGGTATCTGAATGAGCTTAAATGCTCATAGGCCCATAAGTAGGGCCTTGTTCTGCAGTAAATGTGTGAGGTATAACAAGCACTGAAGTAGTAGTGTGACCTTTATGCAAGATTGATCAGACTTTCTTGTGACTTTGCAATGCTTTCGGGGCAAGTGTACAAACAAGGCTAACTGCATAAAATTATTTTAGCTCTTGGAGTTGCTTTGTCATCTCACTTTGTGAAGTGCTTGTTAAAAGAAAAAAAAAAAAAATCAGGGAACTGTGTTCAGTGGATCTTTGGGGAATAGATAGTGACCGAGATCGAGAGTGTATGTTACAGTTCACAAGGTTTGACAAAATGCCTTTGCTTACAATGGCAGTTAATAAAAAGATTAATTCAGAACCAGACTTTTCTAGCATATTCCATATCTGGCCTTGATCATGAGTCATTATGTCATTTGAAATTATTTTATTGTGGTCATTTCACATACTGGTCATGTGTATTTTAGATTCTGCATGCTTATTTCTTAATATGTTAGACCTGTATTTGAAATTAACTGTTTTTCCTCCTCCTCCCCACTATTAGTCTTTTCCTTATGGATATTCTAACACACCTACTTTTATGTATTATGAATTGATTTCCTTAGAGTACTGGTGGTTTTGCAGATTGTTGTTGACTTTCACTCATCCTTTCTAGGATTTAATTTTGGTTTGGGGTTATTTTTTTTTTTTTTTGTGGGAGAAGGTCTCGACTAAGTTCCTTTTGTGTTTTGTAGGGCAAACAAATGCTCAGATTTCCAGAATAACAGAGGAGTTGTCAGAGAAGAGTGAGGAGGTGATTCGCTACCAGGAAGAGATCTCATCCCTTTTGTCCCAGATTGTTGATCTTCAGCATAAACTCAAAGAAGTAAGGGAATGCTGGTAAAGTGTCTGTGTGCACGCAGGTGTCTGTGCAGCTTGTGCATGCCAGTGCTTACAGCAGGCAAAAATTGACTTGGCGAGCCATGGGGTTGCATTGCAAGAGAGTGGCGGTTCCAGGAAAGTCTGGCAGAGGATCAGTCTCTTGGGGAAATCGGCTGAGAAAATGATGAGCACCCTTTTTGTGCTTTCAGAATGTGATTGAGAAGGAGGAGCTGAAACTTCACTTACAAGCCTCCAAAGATGCTCAGAGACAACTGACAGCAGAGGTACTTAAGACTTCCAGATAACATACATTTAGAGAAGTGTTTGGGATAGAATACAGGAGAAGGAAAACAGAGAGAGTGGGAACTACTGCTTTTTAATTATGTAGGATTTTAATCTTTCAGTGTATTAAGTCATATGATTGGAGGAAAAGAATAATTATTTTATTTAAGCCTACACAAATATTTTTGTAGTTCACAGGAGAACAAAAGTCAAGAAGTGTGTTTCAAATAGGGAGGTCTTACTATTCTTAGCTATGAGAAAATGAGTGCTTTAGTGTGAATATTACTGATTATATCAATAGTACTGTGGTTCATAAGATTTTAAGGCAGTTCTCGTTTTTTTGCTTCTTTTGCATCAGTAGTTGGTGTATTTGCATTTTTTATGTATTTTCCTTTGAATTTCATCATACTTTTTCCTCTTTTGAATCTTTGTGCTTTGTCACTAAAACCACTACGGGTGCTGTGCTGACTGTTGTCCATTCCAGTTGAGGGCATGTGCCCTGCAGCTGGAAGAATCTTACCTAGAATCTACCATTCTAGGTTACTGTAGGAGTTCATTCAGTTTCAGTCTGTCTTCTCGCTGAAGAGATCATGTGAGGATGGCCTCTCTTCTCTTCTCTTCTCTTCTCTTCCAGCTCCACGAGTTGCAAGATCGGAATGCAGAGTGTCTGGGGATGTTGCACGAGTCCCAGGAAGAAGTGAAGTTGCTGCGCAGCAGAGCCAGCTCTGTCGCTTGTCTCTGCCACCTGCAGTCCCGTGGAGCATTTCCTGTGGTAACCAGCACCTCTAGCATGGCACACACCAGCTGGCACACACAGCTGAGGCAGTGAGCAGCTCTAGGAACTCAACAGGAGCCTTTGCGGGAGCTGCAGCCAGAACTACTTTGTAGTAGGCAAAGGAGCTGATGTGTTGGTTTTTCAATTCCTCAATGTGTACACTTTTGAGAAATTTAGGAAATTAACTGTTCACTTGACATATTGTGACACTGCAATTATTTTTCCTTTTTATATGCCATTTCTGTTTAATAAGGGAATTGGCATGATCTATACCTTACACTCAGGCATGCTAGTGTCTTTTTTGATGTTGGTGTGAATTTTATAACTCAACAATGTTTCTTTAAGAAACACAGCATCTCACATACTCAAAATATCTGGGAATTCTTCAGGTTTTGGTTGATTGTTCTGTGTGTATGGAATAACTCGTGTACACTTGTAAGAAGTGCTCTTAAAACTGTAGCTTAACTAAAGCAACCAACATACAGAGTACGTAAAGAAACACAAAGGAAAAGGAGGTGTTGCTAATGAAAACTGAACCCATCCTAGTCACACATGGGTGTACTTATGGTGGAAAACTGTCCCACATGCCCTTCCTTCAGAGGCAGAAGGGTTTGTCCAAAGCATACTGATACTAGGCAAACAAATGCAGATTGTTAAAGGTAATTTTTATAGATATTTTCTGCTAAAATTGTCAGAAGGACGACTTGAACCAAATTTGTCAACTCTTATGGTTTCCATTTTTCTCTAGGATTCCCTTGCAGCAGAAATTGAAGGGACAATGCGGAAGGAATTGAGTCAGGGTGATGAATCTGTTCTCTCCAAGCAAAAGTATGTTTCCAGATCTCTATGTACTATTTTAATATTTATCCATAGACTTGTATTGATTAAGGTGAAACTGATTTTTGGAACTCCATAAATGCATATATTCCCTCTATGTTTTCATTGTAAATAAAAAAAGGTTTGTAATATTTGATAATCTTTTCAATTTTGAAACCATTTGATTCTGTGAAGAAGCTGGGAATTGCTAAAATGATGTTATTTCATTCTTTAATTTGTGAGATTTTTTGATCCAAATTCTCTGATCCACAGGACTAATATTTAGAGAAAAATTGCCAGGCAAATGATGTTATAGCTGAAAGATAGGTAACAGTTTTCAAAGCCATGAAGAACTGTTCGTGGATCTCATAATTCTGAGCAAGAAATAATAAACTAAATGCATTCCTGAAGGCATATACAAATTATGTCCATAAAATATATACTTCTGAATAGTCTAAAACAGTTATCAGTAGAGGTTCAGGTCTTCAGGTAAAGAAGTGGTAATTCTGATACTTAATAGAGTAGATCTCCTGAAGATATGAGTGTTTTAGGCAATCGTGTTTTTCTGAACATCTCTTTAGTGAGGTCTCTGCAGAATTTTCAAAGTTTGTTTTTCAGAGATTTTTCTTTATTACATCTTTTTTGCTTCTGAAAACCATGTTTGTTTGCTTGTCTTTTCTGCAGGGGTCAACAGAAACGAGTGTTTGACACTGTCAAGATTGCTAATATCATCCGTAGCCGCTCCTCTTCCTTTCCTGCCCCGTTGCCAATCCCTGGATCAAATCGCTCGAGTGCTGTTATGACAGCAAAGCCCTTCCAATCTGGTGTGCATCACTTGGAGAGCCACACACAGATGGTCCCAGGGAGCAGCTCTGAGAAGAATATGAAGTAGGAATCACAGCCTGTTACCTTCTTCTGAAAAGAACTGTTTCAAAACTAAACCCAGACTGGACTTCTGCTGTGTAATAGAGAAATAGTTAATTTAATGGGCTTAATATCTATTATTATTTGATGTTTCTCACAGAGACACTCTCAGTCCTGGCCAGCCCGGAACCCCTGGAGACAATGACCTGGTCACAGCTCTGCACAGGCTCTCCCTGCGTCGTCAGAACTACCTGAGTGAGAAGCAGTTCTTTGAGGAGGAGTGGGACCGAAAAATGCATTTGCTGTCTGAGCAGAAAGAAGAGGCTAGTGGCTGCAGTACACCGACAGGAAGCTCTTTTTCCCCAAGTACAAACTCAGAATTCACAGATCTCTCTGCCAGCTCTAGTAATCTCCGTGTTCTCCTACCAGAGAAGTTGCAAATTGTCAAACCCATTGAAGGTAAGAGGATGATATTCCTTCTCTCATTAGCAGAAAAGGATTTTATATTTGCCAGCTAAATCATGGTGTGTATAGCTAGGTATGATGTGCAGTAACAGGAAGCAGTAGTATTTATTTGATAGGCTCCATGCCAGCGAGCTCATCAGCATCGTTTCCTATTTGGCTTGCCTAGAGGGTGCTAAGTGTTAGGCTGCTTCTTGGGATTGCCATCCATTGGATGTGTGGATCACAGTGTGGGCACCAGCCAGCTGCAGTTTTCATAAAGCATTTCTTGTAACTTGGCACAGTAGTAGGTAATGGCTCTCTGAATCTCTTCTCTTTTGTCACACCAGGATCTCAGACCCTTTTTCATTGGCAGCAGCTTGCTCGACCCAACCTAGGCACCATTCTTGACCCAAGACCAGGTGTTGTTACTAAAGGCTTTACCCCTCTGTCTGATGATACTGTGCACCACATCTCTGACCTGGAGGAAGATGATGAGGAAGAGGATGAAGGCGGTATAACATTTCAAGCACAACAGTCCTTCCCAGAGGAAAAGAAATGTGCATTGGCAAAGCCAGTGGCAGGGATTTTCCTGCCACCTATTACTTCAGCAGCAGTACCACTCACTGGTAAGAAGCATGGGTAGTGTTTCTTCCTGATTCTATTTAGTAGTGTCCTTTTCTCTCTGGAAAGTGTTTGACTGTGTGGTAATGCTGTCTTTGCTGTTTCTGTACTTCAAAAAAAAGGACTCAAAAAAATTAGCAGGGGTAATAACATAGTCTTAAACTTTGATTCATACTTGTATGTCTGTATTTTTACCCTTAATGGATGTAAATTCTTCACGTTCCAGCCTCAAATCCAGGGAAGTGTCTATCTTCAACAAATTCCACATTTACCTTCACTACCTGTAGGATCCTTCACCCATCTGATGTCACTCAAGTTACTCCCAGGTATGAGGACTGCTTACATCCTAAATGTTGCTACATAGGATTAAACAGTTGCTTCCTGGCTTTTGGTACATGGACCAGTTTTAAAAAATACTAAGGCAGTTAGGCAAGATGTAGGATGTTACTAATAAAAATAGTTTAATTACAAAGGGAAACTTAGAATTCTCTAGAGTAAGAGTCAAAACAGGTTAAGGTAACTTGGAGTAAATTTTAACCCTTGAGTAGCAGATGCCTTGTATCATATAACTATTGTGGAAGAAAAGATTCCATGATAATTTGCTTTCTGATTCTGTTATATTGTTTTTTAAACTAACTAGACAAATATATTAATATTCTATCTAATAGAGTACAGGTGATCACAGAAAGGTAAATTCATTGGTACTTTGCAGAACAATATTCCCAAGTACTGAAGCTGTCACAGCCAATAGCAATAGTTAAGGTTTTTCTTGAGTCTTCTGTATACTAAAAAGCAAATGAAGAGCAGGTATAAAAATGTCTAATGTGTGTATAGTCTCTGTTTAATTTTTATTTTCTTTCAGCTCCATGAGTGCTCCGTTTTCACTGGGAAATACTGGCAGCAGTACTGGAAACCCAGTAGTGAGCACTCCAGCTGTTCCTTACAGACTCAGTATTGGAGAATTTCTCACCAACAGAAGAGACTCAACTACTACTTTCAGCAGCACAAGCAGCCTGGCTAAACTTTTGCAAGAACGAGGCATCTCTGCCAAGGTTTATGACAGCCCCATGTTAGAAAAGCTGCCTTTGCTACAACCCTCTCGAACTCTTCCCATTCCTTCTACTCCACCAAATTCTCCTTCACGTTCACCTTGTCCTTCCCCTCCGCTGTTTGAGCCTCGAGTGCATCACTCAGAGAATTTCCTGGCTTCTCGACCAGCAGAAACGTTCTTGCAGGAAATGTATGGCCTAAAGCCCTCCCGTAACGTCCCAGACGTAGGCCAGCTGAAGATGAACCTCGTGGACAGACTGAAGAGGCTGGGCATTGCCAGGGTGATCAAGTCCCCAGAAACACAGGGCCATAGCAAGAACCAGGGGCCAGAGGTTGGCTTGCAGAGGCATGACTCAGCTGGGTTTTTAAATGCAGGTAGCAACTTAATGGCGGGACTGAGAAGAAACCAGAGTCTTCCAGCCATGATTGGAGCACTGGGAGCTCCTGTTTGCACACAGTCATCAAAAATGGATATACTAAAGGAAGACTAACTGACCTGAAAGGTGTTTGACTTAGAGCACAGTAAATAATTTGAGGGATGAACATCCAGTACAGGCATTGTTAGGTGTGTTATGGAAGAGTTGGAGAAGGTACGTGCATGTTAAAATGTGGGAGAGAGAAGCGTTGGGATCAAGGAGCAAAGAAACATTGCTTGGGTTTGAGGAAGGTTTTTGTGGGAGATAGGTAAAACCAAAGCTTTATTTCAAGTCCCCCTTCAGCATCTTGTCTTAGTCAGAAGTGAAGACTATTCTAGACATTAAAGGGTTTTAACCCTTTAACCTTTATGTGTAGGCATTTTCTTTTTTTCCACCATATACCCATAGTATTTACTAGTTGTTTGCAGTCAGGCTACATCATTTAAATATAATATTAAAATGTCAGTCTGACCAGCATTATCATCCCAAGTTCCTCTCTGCAGCAAACAAATGTGAAAACTTGGATTTGTTTTTGTTTTATTCTTTTATTTTCCGTTTCAGAAACTGTGCTCTTTTGAACTCCTCCTCACTTTGAGAAGTGGGGGAAAGAACCTTTAGGTCTGTGTAAGAAAGTAATACTTCAGTTTACAAACACAGGATTTATATTTTGACAGTGCAATTATGTTAGTGAGATATTAACAGACGTTAATTTCTTTCCTGAGCTTGAGAACAAAGCACACAGAGAAATGTGCAAGGAATAAGAATTAATCAGCAGGAAAGTGTGTGTTGGGGTGAAAATGTCAAACTAAGAAATCTTTCTGAAATGTAGTATGCATCTGTTTAAATGAGGTTAGTTTTGTGCACACACACACACACAAATATCTCAGGCACATTTCAGCATTGCAAAAGGAAATAAACCCTAGGTGCTTGATTCAGGGTTCCTTTTTAAAGACTTAAATGGAGGGCATTTACTTCAAGGAAAGTGTTGGAAATTCAGAAAACTGTCTCTTGTCTTGCCAAGTACACATCCTGTATATTTGAGAGTTCTCTATTGAACTTTATGCCTTTCATCCATTAATTTTATGCAAGATTTTGTTTAAAAGATTTCATTAAGAGCAAAATTTTCCAGTCTCTATATAGAAACAGAAAGAAAAAAGCTGGTGTTCTTTGTAGCATTTTAATGAATATTGAAATCCAGTGGTCAGTGAGGGAGGGTGGTTCTGAACATAGCTGAGGCAGACTTTCCAACTCAGAAAAGAACTTCAATTTAGAAATCCGGTTTCTGAGTGTTAATCATCAAAATATTACTGCCCATGCTGCTTTTTTGGTTCCTTCCTGTCCAAGGGTCTAATCATAAGTGAACAATCTACAACAGATGTTTTGTGCAACTTAAGAAAACGTTGTTGTTGCTAGTGACCTGAATTGAAACAGCTTCTTAGTCTTCATGTAAATTTTCACTGTACCTATCAACATTATAAAATTATTTGTTTCCATATAATTAGATTAAACAGTTAAATTTCCCTTGCCTGGTACCATGTAAGTGGGGTATAGCTGGCAGCTGTCTTGGGGTGTGGTGTGAAACATCAGTGCAATTACACCAATTTGCATTTGCCGTAAGGCAGTAAGGCACATCCTCCATAATCAGCACCCTCGTTGCTGCAGGGGTGAGTGAAGTAGGGCAGGAAAAGAAAGCTTCTTGTTTATGGGAAATTTGTAATGTGGCCTTTCTGATTTTACAGTTCTATAGATCTTGTGATGACTTTTTTTTTTTTTTTTTTTTTTTTTTT